CTTGGGTCCTATTGGGAGAAACAAAAGTGAGAGCTAGGGAAGATCAAAGCCCAAAAGGCCGCTAATTTGTTTGAATACTGCAAGCTTAATATTCTAGAGTGCAGGGGACTCAGCCCCCGAGCCCCAAAACAGCCCCTCCCCCGTATGGTTTTAATAAGGGTCCCAGGACCAGGGGAGCAGCGGCAGCGGCGGCGGCCTTACTGCTTAATTGCGTAGGGTTTGCTCGGCAGCTCCGCGTTCCCCAAAGGATCCCAAGCCCCCACCCATGCCCCCGCCCCCTCCCTACTGTCCGCTTCCACGCGGCCCCAAACTCCTCCAGTCAAGGAGCGGCGGCCGCAGCCAATGGCGGTCAGGTCCCTCGCGTCACCGGCTGCAGGGGGGGCCCCGATTGGAGGGCGGCGGCATGAAAGGGCTCGCGCCGCCTTTTTATAAGAGGCTCGAGGGCGGGGGGCCGCCCGCAGCCGCCTGAGCCCCGCGAGCCCCGCTGCAGAGGGAACCCTTCTCTCCCCTCCCCCCTCTCCCCTCCCCCTGCCCCCGCCCCCGCCCCAGACCCACCCCTCCGTGAGCCCTCTGGAGCCCAGAGAGTGACAGGAGCCCCATGCGCGCGGGCTGAGGCAGCGCCCCTTCCCCGGGCCCCGGCCCCGGCCCCGGCTGCGGGGTGTATGGCCCCCTCGTCCCTGACCATGAATCCTGGTGGCCAGAGGGGAGCCGGCCCGGCGGCCGAAAGCAGCCGAAGCGGCGGCCCCGGGACAGAGGAAGTGGGCCCGGGGGCCGAGCCCTCGCTTTCGCTCTCGCCGTCACCGCGGGGCGCTGGGCAGCGTCCGGGTCCCGGTCCGCTGCCCTTCAGCGTGGAATCGCTGCTGGTGCTGGAGCGCAGACCTGCCCGGGTGGCCCGAGCCCCCGAGGTGCACGCTGGCCCCGGCCACGGCCACGGCCACGGCCACAGCCACAGCCACAGCCCGGGCCAGACCAGGGGCGGCCGCCACGCGCTCGACGCAGGACAGGAGGCGGCGGCAGCTGGGGCTGCTGCGGAGCCCCGCGTGGAGGCGGCCGCTGCAGCTTCTGGGGCTAGCCCCCGGGGGGACGCGGAGCCCGGCGCCTGGTTCCCTTCCGCCACCTACTCGTCTCCTCCTCGTAAGTCTGCTGCGACGTCCGGAGCTCGGCCACAGCCTCTGGGTCTCCTCTTCTCCTCCCAATCTCGCTCTAGGCCTGCAGGGCAGGCGGGCGGCGGGACAGGCGGGCGGCGGGGCAGGCGCGCGGCGGGGCAGGCGGGCTGCGTTCCGCTTGGCTCGGGATAGCCGCCTGACCTGGTCCCCGCGTCCCTAGGGCCGACCCCAGCTCCAAGGAGGGCAGGTGGAGAGGCCAAACATCCCATAGTTCGTGTCTGGACCGCTCTTACATACACATCGTGGGTCACTCAGCTAGCGGTCCCAAAAAGGCCAAGTGGAAACCGGGAGGCAAAGTACCTCGGTTCCCGACATTTCCCCTCCCGGACCTCAGTTTTCTCATTTGTAACATGAAGAGGTTGAGCCAAATGGTCCCTAGGAGTCCTTCCAGTTATGCCATTCTGTAAGTCCCTCTACAGAAAGGCTTTTCCACTACTCCCCTTCCCCAACTGTTTCCCTAGGAGAAAAGCCTACTCGCCAATATCCATTCACTTTGAGGAGGTGGGGAGGCTAGTGGTGAGGTCTGACTGTGTGGAGCGACTTCCCTGGGAAAAAAAAAAAAAATCCTTAGCCTTTAAAATGAGGAATCAGGCTGAGAGTAGTGAGTGTCCTTTCTGATGAATTTTTTTTTCCTACATGGTGCGCCTAAATAATACCCTTTTTGGAGAAAAACAACTCCTCCCCCAAAAGGAGTAGGGCTCGAAGTGATACTTATAACTATTTATATCATCTACCAGGTCATCAGTATGGGCTCAGGCTTTAGGATCTAGAAACACACGAAAGCAAACTGGTTTTCTCCCCCACCTCACCCCCATTGTCTGTTATTTTATGAACAGCAACCCCTAAGTTGAAGCCTATTTGATGTGAATATTTTGACTTTCAGAGGTTGCTCACTCCTACACTTACCATCTTGCATTTGCTAGGAATATTTACAGAGAGAATGAGGGTGGGGAGAGAAAAAATTGGGTAGATCGTTGGTGTACTGAACCCTAGTTTTCCACTAGAGTTTTTCACCTTAAGAGACAAGGTATTGTGGGTCTGCAGAGCAGGAGAAATTAATTTAACTTATTTGTTACTGTGATCTTGAAGAAACATGTTCCCTCTAGACACCTCTCTAGAGATGGGGACTTAGGGGTACACCATTTCCCATGAAGAGAGAGAATGATGCTCATGGGACATCCAGGCCAAACTAGAGAATTGGGATCCTCTGCGCTTGAGCGGTTTCTTGTGCCCCAACTGAAGTCTGTTGGTCTGTCCGTCTGTCTCTGATTGTCTCTCCCTCTCTCCTCTTTGTCCTCTCTCTTCTCTTCTCTTCTCTTCTCTCTCTCCCTCTCTCTCTTTCTCTGTCTGCCTCTCTGTCTCTCTCTCTGCCTCTCTGTCTCTCTCTCTCTCTCTCTCTCT